ACTGTGGTGATGGAGATTTTTCTTGTCTTTTCTGAAAATTGACCATTCATTCTTACCTTTTGCTTCCAAGCTTACAATAGGACACTTCCAAGAGAAGATCACTCTTTTTTTTTTTCCTTTGACAACTTTATTTCATTAAAGTGTCTRTGATGAGGCACTCTTCAAAAACCTATTGGAAAAGGAAGTACCTTATGCCAGCTGAATCTCTCTCATTCCTGTGTATTTTGGCTCCTTTAACGAACTCTGAAAGGCCTGTGAGACACGAGTTTCTTCTGTTGTATTGACTCTCCCTTATTTGTGAGAGATCTTGTTAAGCCTTAGAAACCTAACATGTAGATCGGGTAGCTATTGAGATAATTCCCTATTTAGAAAGAGTCACAAAACAGGAARGCTCAGATGAGCAGAATACATTTGGAATACATCTGGTTTGAAGGGACTTCACTTGTCTATTGTAGTTGTTGCCAATTCACGAGAAAGAAGTTAGATTTATTTGAAATCTTTCAAGAAATTGTCTTCAGAGGATGATACTCCATTCCTCTGAAAATATGGCTGATTTATRTGTGAGGTTACATTTCCCATTTCATAGCTCATCTTCACTTTTAAATTCCTTTAGAATTCCTCAGGGATGTCACCTGCAGAATTTATTGATTTTTCTTTCTAAACCTCAACTACTGGAGGAGCCAATTGCTTCTGACTGTCCCTGCGGAGCAGTGTTTGGCTGAAGCAACTTAACCCAGGTCCTCCATAGCAAATACCAGTGCAAAGAGTTCATTCAGCCATCGACCTACAAGARTGCTCTGCTTCACCCTCTTTGCCCATCAGCCTTACAGAATCCCTGACTGGCTTCCTGCTTCTGATGTACTTAAAAAAGAKGTTATTAGCCATTAGCAGGTTGCTAATGTTCTACCATGTTCTTTAATTTAACATGCCAAGATTAAATGCTAGTTTTTGGCATGGTTATGATTTTCTCTTTTTGAAGTTGTTTCTTTTTGCTTTTAAACTTTGTAATTTATTATGGTGTCAGTTTTTCTCTTTTTTTTTAAAGAAAAACTTTTTGAAAGTGGTTTATATTTCCTTTGAACTTGTTCTGCTCTGTTTCTACTCCCTGAAAGAAAGTCTTTATCGACACCAAACACTTCATCCTTTGACTTGTTCCTTTAATCTTTTAATAAGCTTCCTTATTTTTATACAGTTCTCCTTTTTTTAGTTTAAGTGAACCTTCAGTGACTTTTCATAGTTTTATTCTCTCTAAAAAATGCATTGAATTCACATAATTGTGGTCACTATATCAGTATAATTTTGAAACAAAACAGCAGTGATTCAAGAAGCTCAGGAAAATTTGCTTCACCTCTTCCTGGATGTTAGTTGTTCCAAGAAAATGTAATTTAAATATGTGTAAAATCGTCTATGTTATGCTGCTTTCTGACATTTACCCAGTGTGTATGGGGATAAAACTCTTCCATTATTAGTCTCTTGCCCTTACAGTCTCCTTACTTTTCTTTAGCATATAACAATACCAGCCACTTCTTTGAGTGGTTAAGAATATTGCAATAATACCCCTTTTCAGTTCAGGCATGGAAATTTTAGTCTGTATGGATTTTGTCYGTCTTTGTAACATTGTTAATATTTCTGTATTTTTCTCTTATTTCACTCTCAGTTTTCATTAATATGTAACTTCTTCACAAATGGCAATGCATACTATGTTAATCCTATATACTATGTTATTGCTATATAGCAAATGACATGGAATATAGGATATAATGAATATAATGACATAATATGATATAATAGACATAATAGATATAAATCATTATATAAGTAGATGGTATCTGGTGGCAGCTTGCACCATAGATGTATTTCCTTACACCAAGTTTTTGAATTATCAGTGTTATCATAAAGAAGCTTTCCAGTCCACCATATATTTTTAGATCCTTGCAATGCACATAAAAGTGTGGTCTTGAGCTGATGACCTATTTTAATAGATCCACTGTAACAGAGACTTTATTTGTTGAAACTCTATTCTGTTTCCTGTTAGAATTTTATCCACATCTCTGTTAAACTTCTTGTGAAAATATAATCTCTAGCTTAATGACTTCATCCTTAGAATATATGTTACATATATTCTGTGTTCTCTTTAATACCTGTTGTCTTTTCTGAAGTCTTAACTTTAAAAAAACTATTTTATAACCTTTGTAATTTCTAGTGTGGTCAGATGATTCCTCTTGTTTTAGACAGACATGTAAGTTTCTTCATAGACCCCGTCTGTCCTAGGACACCTCAAGTCACAATAAATTAAATCSTCTCTTTCTTTTACTGTCTTCTGACTATGCCCTAAGCTGGCTTAACAAGACCTCTATGTGCTGTGTGGTCCTATCAATGGTATGAGAAGCACTTCAGAAAAACAGCATCACAGACGTTTGAGTCTCTCAATCCCTCCTTAYCGATGTGGTCTGGTTTCTTCCCACCTCCTGAGGAGTTAGAATTGAATGGTCTTTTCCCCAGAACTGATTTCCTATGGCATCCACATTTCCTGCAGTTTTGGTACTTTTGGTACCTGCTCCAGTGTACTCTTAATACAGAACACTCAGGCACAAGAGCTCTCTATATCTTCCATCAGCGAGTTTCATGTAGAGAGTTACTTTACTGGCTGTTCCACTGCAGGTGGGAGCCAAGAAGGGAGATGCCATCCACTGGTCTGATTGTATTTATTGCTGTCATAATAATTCCTTGATGTTTGTTCTTTTCTAGGTTAATTGCCAACTAGCTGAATATGGAGGATCGGGAAGCTGGAAATCTATAGAAAACTGTAGAAAGTGAATGGACAGAAGGAATCAGAAAAACCTTTGGAGAGAGCAGGAATGCACCGGAAAAGTCTAATAACTGACACCCAAACCCCAGGAAAGAGATAAGCAAATGCTAAAATAAGTGCAAGCTTTGAATTCTCTCCCCTGCCCAAGCCAGTCAAGCAAGCTCAATTTGGGAGTGCATCACAGCACAAACGAAATGATTGTGTGTGGCTGCTGTAGTGAGACTTTCATTAAAGCCTTGGCAACAGCCCAAAGCAAGTCTGTGTTGAAGAGGTTTAAGTCCAAAAGGCACAAATAATTCCTATGCAACAATGGAGTTAGTGCTTGCAAGAAGAGTAAATGCTCATTGCTTCTGCATATGGGAAAAAAAGGGAAGAGTCTCTCCTCTTTTGCAAAAGCAGCAAAAGTATTCAGGATATCAGTGCTTTGTTGCTTTCATTGAATTTTGTTTGCAGTGCTTCCTCAGAAGGCCTTTTTACGATAAATACACTCTCTTTCAGTTTAGGATTGCTTCCCTGAAAATACTGACCTCTGAACCAGCAGTTTTGTGAGATAGAAGGCAATCAGTACAGTTAGTTGAAATGTCTCTGAGAATGGTTTGTAGGTTTCCAGGCTATTTTAGATAAGAACTTTTCTACTTTGCCAGGTATGTCACTAGACATAACGCCAACCCCCAACTCTTGAAGAAGCCCCAAAAAACATTCTTTCAGCAGGGGGGAAAAAAAAAAAAAAAAAAAAAAAAGGAAAGGAAAGAGGAAGAGAAGAGGATTAATCTAAATTGAAACCAGATTTGGATTCCTGTCTGGAGGCTTGAACCTGTCACTATTTTGCATGCATTGACCCCCTCTGTAACCTAAAGAGTTTATATTTGTTCTGAACAAATACAGGTCTATAGTTCCTTTGTTTGACTTTTCTTTGGAGACGCCCTGGCTGCATCAGGCTTTTGTGGTTTGCTCTCAACTAAGGTGCCCTTGCAGGTGTGACCTTGTCACGGCTAAGGGAACCTTGCTGCCATTTGTCACTGCCTCTGACACTTTGTCTCTGAGTGTTTTACTGCTAGCTCGTTATTGAACTGCTGCTGCTGCCAAGAGATCCATGCTGTTGAAGCTGGTGACATAGACTGATGTCTGTCACCTGTGCTTTGGGAAGCACCAAGYGCAGAAGGCAGTGCCTGATCAGAGGGCTTAAACGAGCTACCATGCAGTGTGATGGCTGTGCCTTCATGCTCTGCCTGAGCAGAACTGAGGAGCTCTACAGTGTATGAGGGCCTCCTGCACAAGCAAAACCCTGAAAGAGAGAAGCATTCCTTGTGCTGTCCTAGGACTCCAGAGATTTGAGTTCTCTTTCTGTCTCTGCCCTTTTATTATAGCTATTAACATAAAGCAGTAACATAAACATGGTTAACATTTTATGTGTGCGCATAGCATCAACTTGCTGTCAGCCGACAATTTATAGCAACTGGTATTTGATTTTCATTTGAGAAGTCTGAAGAGCTACCAGTGCAATTAAGCACAGAATAGCCTTTTTAATTTGCTATAATCCAATATTAATTGGACGTATTAAGCAAGAGGATGGACTGAGGTGTTCACAGGACGCTGTAGCTTTGGGTCACCTCAAAGTCAGTGTTGCTTACAGTTAGGTGGCTTCTGTGAATTGAGTCTGGCAATATCATTGTGGTCAGTGTCTCTGGCAATATCTGCAGTGAAAACGTTTTATAATTCACTCCACAGTCTTTGAGTATTTGGATTTAGAAAATGGCATGCTGTGTTGTAAGGAAACGAGGACGAAAGGTGGGATAATGGTCCTGCCGTGTAGTCTCAAAAAGATAACTGGGATGCTGAAACTAAGAGCTTGGAAGCACTTCCAGGATCTTCACGTTAACCTGCTATTGTAGACTTGTCACCTCCCAATTAGCTGTTTTGAGGGGACCTTCAGGGAGACAAGAATTGCTGCAATGTCACCAGCACTAAGACATTCACCTAGATCAAAGCTTGTAGAACATGAGGAATCTGGGAACTTCTCTGTAATGGTATGGCTTCTCTGAGAATCAAAAGAGCTATAGGTATCCACTTAAAACTTTCTATAGGGATTCCATCACAAAAAGATGGCAAGGGTAAAGCAATAAGGTTCYGGGCAATGCATATATTCATTTTATTATTTTGTATTCTCTTCTTCAGGTGTTGTTACTATGGCTGTCACCACAGTATCTGAATATCTTCCATCAAAATGTTCACATATGTGCATATTCTCGGTCATGAGTGTATGTTTCCTTCTTTCTTACTCTTTATTTTTTTCCTGAGAACTGAATATATATTTCTGGAGGGAAAAAATGGGAATGCAGTTTTGGTTTTTTTTTTTTTTTTTTTTTTTTTTTTTTTTTTTTTTTTTTTTTTTTTTTTTTTTTTTTTTTTTTTTTTTTTTTTTTTTTTTTTTTTTGCTTTTGCATACTATGAAAGAAATTATATGAGAGAGAGATAGGGAGATAGTGATGAAATGCAATGGAAAATTTAATATATGGAACAAAGAGAGCTCAGGAGCAAAAAAGTCTAGTCACCTGCATTAATCTAGTACCCTAGCCAGTGGAGAAGAGGTACTTGCCAAGTGTGTCTGTGTAGCTTGTTGACCTTTTAGCACAGCTTCAAAGAGAGGAAAGACATCAGCCTATCACATGAGCAGAAAACCATTGTGCTGGCATAAGGTTCTTGGAATCATTTTGAATTTGTGGCTGTGAAAGCAGAAAAAACAGCACAATCTGTGAAGATAATATTTCTAGGTTGCCACAGAAAGACACCTCTTAGGTCTCTGAGACGTTGCATCTTTCCTTTTTTTTTTATTTTTTTTGAATATAAAGAGACATTTGTCAGATTTTTTTCCCCCTTATGTTAATTAATTTCTCATTTTAGTATTGCTTGTTCTGATTACTTTAATTTGCATTTCACTCATATTGCTGTCCCTGTAGGTGTGCACTCCTCAGGGTAAGCTGGAAGCTGTGTCTGCCTGTTCTGTGAGCTTCTCTGTACTTTGTGCTGTAAGAGGCCTAAAATGATTGGATCATTTTGCCTGTAGAACAGAAGTTTCAGAGGGGATTTTATCAGTGTCTATTATTACCAGAGAGGAAGGAGTAAAAAAGATGGGCCGGACTCTTTCCAGTGGGGAAATGGACACAAACTGAAATCCAGGAAACTCCATTTGAACATAAGAAAAAAAAAAAGTGTTTGGAATAGGTTGCTCATAGATGTTGCCTATAGAGGCTGTCAAGTCTCCATTTTTGGAGTTACTCAAAACCTGATTTGAGAAGATCCTTTGAAACCCTCTCTGCTTGACTGCTCTGAGCAGGAAGGTTGGACTAGATGATTCCCAAAGGTCCTTTCCAACCTCAACCATTTTGTTATTCTATCAATTAATATGTGGAGTCCTCTCTGCCAATTGTCAAAAAGAGGCCATAGCAGGAGTCTGACAGTGTCATACTAAAGCATCTTTCTATTTTGAGGTCAAATATATCATTTTTGTATAAAGGTAACTTGCATTTTTTTCAAACTTTGGGGTTGTCAATAAAGCAAAGTATAGATAAGCTCTCCTGATGAGGCAAATTAGAATTGACTTCTTTTCTTCAGTGAGACATGAAGATATGATCTTACTAGGTATTATGCTGGGTATTGAACTTGTTTATTTACTGAGGATATCTGTATGTATGATAACATTTCAGATAGGAGACCTAAAGTAAGTAACTACCTAAACTCCCAGGGTCTTTAGATGCTGGCAAATGTACCTGAACAAAATAGCTCTCACTGTACCCATGCAAGATGGAAGCATAAATGGGCTATTACTGTGCTGGAAATGGATCTTGGAATCAATTTTTTTGAYAATTTCCAGACAACCTCAGTTCCATGTTCCCGAGATTCTTGTGGACTATATAGAGAATGAGAGTGACTGAAACTGCTCACAGTTGACTATCAGCTGCACTGGCTATACTTGTGATCAGCCTTATTCTGAAAGGGTGCAGCAGGTAGGTTTGCAGTCTGGAAGAGACTGAAGTAGATTGGAGATCTGGAAGGGGGAAAAAAGGGACATTAGCTCTTCTATTTGTTTTCAGCTCCTGTATTTCCAGCAGTGAAAGAAGTCATCCCAGATGCAGTGGTGCTGAACAGAGCAACACATCGTCCCCCTTCTCTTCCTCAAGCAAYCAAGCAGCATCATATATCAGGATCTCAAGTGGGTCTCACATGTTCCAGTTGCTGTTGGACTAAAAGAGGTAAAGATCAGTTYAAAGCAATTGTCAGAGTGTAGAACAGCTTCTGTGCATAATTGAACTGAATGAATTGCAACTTTCTAGCCTGGAAAAGTGAGGACGGAAGGGGGAATATAAAGATGAATAAAATAATGGCTGATGTGGAAACAGTGGGTTGGAAGCAGTTATTCAGGGTTGTACTAGGGACACATGATGAATTCCCTCTCCTTCCCTATGAAATCCCCCCCCTTTCAAATGAAAGAACAGGGAAAATATTTGTTTCTTTAATGCCCAGTGAAGTTTTGGCTCTCATTGCTTCAGAAGCATCATAGTGGTAAAAGCAGAGCAGAGACATGGGGCAGGAGGAACAGCTTAGCAGATCTCAGAACTGGCCTGTTGAGCTGCATTTCCCAGAAGACAGCTAGATCTTGTTCTTAATTATACATTTTGGCAGTATAAACAACATTTTCATTGAATTCAAGTTTTGTCCCTGAGAGGATATTTTAAAACCTCTTAATGCAATTAGAATTGTATAAAGGATGTAAAATCCATTGCCAGGAGCAGAAAGCTAAAGAAAGTGCCAGCAGCAGGRTAGCTTATGATAACAGTGACATCTATCATCCTTTCTTCCTGTTATTATGCTCTTGTGTCCCTAAATACTATCATCCTAATTATTTAGTGTCACGTGCCAAACATTGATGCCTTACATTATGTTTGTTTTAGGAAGCCATGAAGGTGCAGCTTAGAGTCTTTTTTATGATAAATACTATTAGGCATGCTTTTCGTTTGTTTGTCTGCATCATTATTTGTCTTAAATAGGTTCTCTAATCTTTGTGATGATGATGTCATTGCATAGTTAGGCACTGAAACTCAGTTTACTTTCTCTTTTGTTGTTGTTTTTTGTTTTGTTGTATTTTTGTTCTTGTATGTTGTTGTTTTTGAGGGAAGTTTCTTTCCTAGGATCCATTTGATTATCTGGTTTCCCAATTAATGTTTCTAAGTTGGGAGCCATTGATAAATCAAAGTAGAAGATTATAATTAGAGGCATGCCAATCTATCTGAGTGTAATTTGTCTAGCCTGTGAGCCAGAGACGTCTATTGGATCATGACCAATAATTCTAGTGATCTTGAACACACAACTTAATGAATTCACATAGAACATTCTGAAGCCAAATCAGTGGATATTGGATCAGACAAACATGCTTCTTCTAGTGATTTCTGAAAGATTGTCTTAGATTAGAGCATGATATAACCATGACCTGAAGCTGTGTCCCAGTTAGAGAAGAATGAACCCAGTCAGAAAGAAAAAGCTATTCTGCCCTTTCATGTTTTCATCTAAAGTTTAGTATACAGGTCAGTGTGCCAAAGGGTCATGAGAGAAATGATTTTTCTCTCCCTGCAGATCTCCAAAGGTCTCTTGATCCCAGCTCTATGCTTTCAAATCTTTACTAGTCCCCAAGTTCAGTCTGTTGTAATCTGTAGACCTTCAGACACAAAATTTCACTTCCTTTACACACTCCACTCAAAGGCCGTTATGCTCTCATTTCTAAGCCATCACTCTTCAACCAGCTATCGTTAAATTAAGATTGCATATACTTCATCATTCATAGCTTCTAAACTTACAACACATATATTCAGCAGCAGATGGAAATAGGGAGAAAAATTGCCTAAGCTGCTGAGTTTCATTTCACAAGGCAGACAGGGGCTATAGATCAGGAAGGAAGAAGAAAGAGACTCAATAGGCAGAAACACACTTTTTTTTTTGTATTGTAGGGGATGCTGAACAGCTGTAAATAAGTGAAGAGCAGGAGAGATACTGCATGATCAGAGAGCGTAGAAGGTTTGCAGCCTGACTGGGAAGAGCTCAGGTTATGCCAGGCAGAAGTGAAAAGGAATTTATGTGATTAAGGTAAATTTTCAAAGACCATGCAGGCTCAAACATACCTCCAAACAACTCAACCTTAGTACCTACTATACCTCAGCAAGATTTTCCAGATATTTTTCTCATTAGAAACTAAGCAAGATGGTAGTTCTCTTACTTTTGTGTGAAGTATATATGCATCTTTAATGTTATTTTCCATAAATATGCTTTGATCTTTTTTTTGAGCCCTAGCATGTGACGAAGCCCAAGAACAGTYTCCTTCACTTGTCTGTGTCACCAGGTTTCAATGGTGAGTTTGTGCACTGGATAGATACAACCTTCAGCCGAAGCAGAGATAATGCTGGAATGGACACAAAGAAAGCTTTTTCTCACATTGGACAGACTTCCTTTCCCCTTGCTTTTACAGTTTTAAAAAAACGCTTTTCTTAAAGACTGAAGGCAAACTAATGCTGTTCCTCAAAGCTCCTGCTTTCCTCTCCAGTTCCTTAGGTCTCTCTTATCTTAGTTATTGCTCATTGTGTTGCTCCTTTGGCATGGCTGGAGCTCAAAGCTTCTTTTGACTCTATCTCCTTTGTCCTGTTAGTGAATGGACATAGGTATTTATGAACTAAACACCCCTATGTTTTACATTGGAGAGGTTCTCCTTGAYATAGCATAGTGCTCACTGTCTGAGGTGATGACCCCTAGACTGCCACATAAGTGTCTGGTGCCTGTGCCACTTAAAGAGCCCTATTGCCCAACCTTCACTCCTATGCTCTTCCTCTTCTTGTGTTGGCACAACTGGCCGCACAGCTGGCTGAAGATAGTTTTAGCCTGGATCYGTTTCATAATCTAGTTCTCCAGCACATCTTGTGATGCGTGCCAGCAGCACAAGGACGGGACTGAGCAGCCACAGTAGAGAAGAGCTGCTGCTAAACATACAGTTCTATCTGGCCCTTAGAAAATAGTAATGATGGGAAAGAGAGCAGCTGTTAGCTTCCGGCAGGCTTCATGAAAGACAAAAAGTGTTTGCACAGGAGGGAGATGGCCTGAAAGTTTGAGCTGTGCATGCAGAATATCCATATCACATGCTAGGAAATAGAACATTTTGAAGTGTGGAGTATGTGAGACCTACACTGTCTATTGATTTTATGGTTCCCTTCAAAGCTAGATTTGGACTTCAGTCAGGCCATGCTTATTATTTCCCCAAAGTGGTTGACTGCTTCAGTGTCTAGTCTTGGTAAGGTGCTATAGATGTTTCTAGCAGSTGTGTTTATTAATGTCTAAATTGATACAGGATGCAACAAATGAAGACACACTCTATGTGTAAAATCTCCAGAGACTATGTGAAGGAGAGAAGTGCTTTTCAGCCAGTCAAGAAGTTGTTATTAGGCCATACAAGTACAGAAAATAATGATTGATCTCTTAAAGTAACATTTCCATTCCCTGGTTTTAATTCTCATCTTGTTATCTGTCGAGTAAGACAGAAAATAAATCTAGTGGGTACCCAAAAAGAAGACACGATAATGATAAAACTAGAAGATCTTAAAGGAAAYATTGCCTGAAAAAAATAAAGTGAGCACACTTCACCAGAAAGTWTCATTCAAAGTGAACTGGGGGAGCAAATAATCAACTGAATATGGGGAGATGGGTCTTACTGGTATGATCTTAATGGCAGAGGATCATACAGATTTTTCTTTAATTTATTAGTCTTCTAAGCACTTGGAGCTGGGTTGTTTGTTTTCTAGATAGGGAATAAATACTTCAATCTGCCTTTCACTTTAATCTGCTTTACCTGGAGGTGATTATAAGGTAGCTGATTGTGCATGAGAAATATCTCACATTAGATGTGGACAGTTTTACAGGCCAAGTCCTGAGAGGAAAGAGCCAGCTCCCTTGTACATGACCCCAGGGACAGGTATCTGGCAGCGAGGAGGGTACGTCACTACACAGCTCTGCAAGCCCTGGCCTTGGAAGAGCTGGCCTTGGAAAGGTCAGGGCTGGCAGGAGTGCCCACCAAGGAGCAATTGGAGCTAGAAAATCTCCCTGSCATTCAATACACCAGCCGGGAGCATATCCACATTTCCCTGAGAAATGTAACACCCTGGGCTGTGTTTCTTACCCCGCTGTGCCAGCAGGACCTGCCAGTGCAGGGCATGCCAGGAGAGCTCTTTCCTCTGCCCTGTGCACGTGGAAGTGGAGGTAACAACAGCACCGAGACAGCAGGCRACATGAGTCAGAGCACTGGCAATTTTTGCCTCCTAGGACAGGCAAGAATACTTAGTTTTGCCTTCCCTAATGCCTTCCCTTACTGACTTAATGTCCTCAGCATCCAATAAAGTATGAAGGGAATTAGATTATTCCTCAGTCTTGCTCTCTGGACTATTTTAAGTGGAAGCCATTATTGCCAGCACATCGTAGCAATTTGCAGTTTTGCAGTCCCCAGTTTTTGCCTCATTTGCCTATCCTTACCATCCCCACAGAGCAAGATAGAGGATGGATCACATGCTGAGACCCCTGAAAAGAGACCATGGTATTTCCAGATGCTAGCAGAGAACTCCACCAACTGGTCAACACAACGTCCCAGGAAGTGGGATTTGGAGGATTTCTCAGTCTTTGCTAAAGTGACTGGAAGAGTCAGTCATTCTGTAGCTGAAATTCCGGAAGGGTGGCTCAGGATTTGATCTGATAAAAGTAAATACTCCTGGTTAACGATCATGGCAGAAACCTGATTTCTAGCTGCCCTGCCATATCTTAAAATTAGACCATTAGCTTGCTACACACAATTTCCTCCTGCCATTWATAATTAGCACAGAAAGACAGGGTCTAATGTAATATGATATGGAAAATTTTGAAGTAGATTTAAATTTAAAATGGAAAATGAAATGATGGTCCTGCATGTAAGGGCTGATGTAATAGAAGAAATGTATTCCTCTTGCCTAATGAATTTACTGGGAAATATATTGCCGGTTATGCTCGTCTCTCTCTGCTAAAAGTCACCAAATAACAGCCATGGTTATT